GTCTCTCATAGTTGAGGTATACCTATGATGAAAATTACAGGCCTCTCTCATCTTTTTAAGTGGGAGAACTTGCACAATTGGTGGCTGACTAAATACTTTTTTGCCCCACTGTATGTATTCAGTTTGTCCTGACCAAAGGGAAGACCTTATATTTGTCATTACTCAATATGAACCTGTTGGATTTGGCCCATTTTGAAGCCTGTCAAAGTAGTTTGAATTGTGATTAGCAACTAAGGTAATTAGCCAATCCCCCTGGTTTAGTATCATCCTCAAACTTGATAAGCTTTCCTTCCATTCTGTCCTCTAGGTCATTTATAAAAACATTTAATTGTTTAACCGATGGCACTTTACTGTTGTACCATGTAGCCCACACTTATCTATCGTGTCCAAGTGTCATGCAAGACCTTGTCAAATGCTTTATTGAGAGATATACATTGCACCGACGCTATTTCTCTTTCCCTTTTTGAATATTGGGACTCTGCTATTCTCCTGTTTTTTGGCACCTCACCAATCCTTCGGCAATTTTCAAAGATTACAGTCAGCAGTTGTAAAATCATTTCTGCCAGCTACTTCAGAATATTTGAAAAGATATTTTAATATCTGAAAAGGTGAAGAAAGGGACAAAATCAAGAACGTGATGACTCCTAGAAGGACTTCCAGTCTCTTGGAAGATGAATGTTTGGGTTCTCTGTGGCTTGAGATATCAAATTGGGAAATTGAATATAGGATTGCATCAGTAATTCATCTCTGGGAATTTTTAAGTTTAGAAGGTTTTTATACATAAAACCTTCTAGAAGAGGTGGCTTTTTTTAAAAGGTGTTCCTATTAAATGAAACATTTCTGTTTGTATATTAGGTTGTCATGCTGGCTATGTATAATCTATCCCTAGAAGGAACTGGCCGCCAAGGTTATTTCAGATGGAAAGAAGACATTTGTGCTTTTATTGAAAAACACTGGAGTTTTCTACTAGGAAACCGGTAATTATTACAGTGCAGTATATTGTAATGTATGATCATTTAAGTACTCAGTGTTAACTTGGGAAATTTAGTTGCAGCAGCATTATTTTTAATTCTTGGGAGAGAGAAATGCCCCAAGCTCCAAAACTTAAAAGCTTATTAAAAAAAAGTATTTTGCATGTGCTAGTTCAGCAGCCAGTCATGAACACCAGCCAGGTACAGAGCAGGTGATATTGATAAAGTCTTTTTTTTTTTTTTTTTTTTGCAAAAATGTGTCCAGTAGTAGAAACCTAATGTACTTAATTAGGTTAAGTACATAATGTAGAACCAAATACACGGTATTAAGCAAGTCTCTAGTATACCAGCAATCCTAGTAAAATAAAATGCTCTCCTATGCTTTTCATAGTTGTAAATCACCTGCTTACAGCTGGCTATACTTTCAGTTATTGCAACTTCTTAAATATATAGTAAGTGAAACCTCAATGTACTGGATATCAATACAGTGAACTTAGCATGGAATGGATTAATATTCTGCACCAATTTACTTATGTCATTATGTAACTAAAATGAAATTGACATATTGTATTTATGCACAGGAATACCCTCCAATTTAATCAATGTTAGTTAATAATTGACACCCCTCCCCCAATTAGTCAATTAAATTGAGTTTATATTGTACTTTAAAAACTACAGTGCCACAATGCATTATGGGGGAATGAACTTTTTTATAATAGCAAGGCAATCATTTTGTTGGAGAATCAGTGTGGAGTATGGTGTATATTTTTCTGTCTGTTTAAAGCATTAAGTGATGAATTTGTATTATTTGAAGAAATGCAGTAGAAGTGCCATTGATCAAAAGTGTGGAATAGCAGTACGTTCAGTTAAAATACGTTTTGATGTCCAGATGTGGGTCAGCACTAGAGATGTTTCAGAATTCCTTCTAGAGGATTTAACAATTTTTTAATAAGCCTGTAATAATAATTTATGAACAGTTAAAATAAAACAAATTACCGGTAGTCCTCGCTTAATGACTTCCCTGTTTAGTGGCCATTCAAAGTTATGAGGGCACTGAAAAAGTAACTTTACAACCAGTCCTTGTACTTAGGATGGTCACAATGTCCCGTGCTCACATGATCACCATTTGCACGCTTTACATCCGGCTTCCAATAAGCAGAGTCAACGGAGAAGCCAGCAGTAAAATCATATGTCATAGTCATGTGATGTCTTGCTTAACAACCATGGCGGAAGTGAAGTCGTAAGTTCATTGCGGGCATATGATGTCTCACTTAACAACTGCATTGCTTAGTGACAGATTTGTCGGTCCCAATTGTGGTTGTTAAGCAAGGACTTCCTGTAAGCATACAGAGCATACAGAGTCATGAAATAAGGAACCAAACATCCATTTTAGCATGTATATGTCACATTTTAATAGATTTAAAATTATGAAATTCAGGAAAACTCTTTTACTATCTATTGGACTCCTGTGTGTCTTTTAAAGAAGAAATCAGTGAGTTCGGCTAATTGTCATGTTAAAAATACTATACTACTTCATACAATATAATCATTTGCTATAGTGGCTTGCTTTACCACAGAAGTTAACTTCATATGCTAATTCTGATCTGAAAGACTCACTGCTTTTTCTAGATACTTATGAACAGGAGGACAATAGCTATTATAGGTAGTCCTCAGTTAATGACAATAATTGGGGCTGGAATTTCTGTCACTAAGTGATGTGGTCGTAAAGTGCAACATGTGACCACATCCTGTTGCCATCATTAAGTGAGGATCGTGGGTCATTAAGCGAGGACCTCCTCACAACTTCTTACCGACTTCCAACAAGCAAAGTCAGTGGGGAAGCCAGCAGGAAGTTGCAAGTCCCAGGTGGCTTGCAAGCAGGCCAGCAGGTAGGTAAGTGGCTGCTGCAGTGCAACATGAGCACGGCAGGGCTCAGGGGGCTGCTGCCAGGTCGGGGGGAGGGTTCACGCAGGTGACTGGGCCGGGGGTTGCTGCTTCTGGGTGAGGGAGGGTGCACAGGCATCCACTGCAGTGCCATGCAAGTGCAGTGAGACTGGTGGCTGCTGTCAGGTGAGGGAGGCTGTGCAGGTAGCCATCACTGGTGGGGAATGCTGTGGGAGCGCATGTTGAGGAGTATGAGATTCCTGGGATTTCGTACTCTGTAGCCAGGGTCCTTGGAAGGAAAAGCCATGGGAGTGTGAGCAACTTACAGGAGCAACTTGCAAACTTCCCTGCAAGCTTCCGCATTAACTTTGCTTGTGAGAAGCTGGCAGGGAAGGTCACAAGTGACTGCAGGACATTGCAACCGTCATAAGTGCAAGCTGGTTGCCAAGCACCCAGATTGCAATCACGTAACCACAGGGGTGCTGGGAGAGTTGGAACTTTGAGGACCGGTTGTAAGTACCACTCGTTCAGTGCTATCATAACTTTGAATGGTTGCTGAATGAGTGGTCATTAAATGAGGATATTGTATATTTTTTGTAGTTTATAGAGCTTCATGTTATTAGATGTTGGTATAAATGTTATATTAAAGCATCTAAAACTCATAATCCTAAATTCTGCTTAATCCTTTCTAATGATTTAGAAAGAAGACATCTACTTGGTGGAGCACTGTTGCTGGTTGCCTTTCGGTGGGAAGCCCTCTGTATTTTCGCTCAGGGGCTCAGGAGTTCGGAGAACCAGGATGGTGGAAACTTGTTCACAATAGGCCCCCTATAATGAAGCCTGAAGGAGAGAAACTTTCTGCATCTTCTCTAAAAGCAAAAGGCAGGTCTTTGTGAACTGCATGTAAATCTGCGGATTTCAAGATCTGAGCTAACCCTAGATTCATAAGCATTTTGTGGAGTGGGAAGGGAATGAATGTGTGCAAGCTTTGAAGATTTGATTGAGAGCAAATTTTAAGCATAATATAAGGATATTAAAATACATTTTTCATATAATATCTGATAGAATAAATTCATAGCAATTATTTTTTGAGGCAAAAGGGGTGCTGGATGGAGATGAAGAGTTAATGTTCTGCTTATTTGTTTATGCTACCATCCTGGCTTTCTTTGTTTCATTCCATCAGACTCATCTCACAACCCACTTAATATTTCCATTCTTCACTTTCTTCCTTTGCTTCTTTATTTCTCTTTTGCTTTCATAATTCTTCCCAGCATCTTTTACCTATCTTTTCTCTTACGAATTAGTATTAATTTAAAACAGAGGTGAGTAACCTGTAATCCCAGAATCACATTTCCATAAAACCATTTTTTTCTCCTGTAGACTATCTTCTGTCTGCAGCAATGAATTTATTCTATCTCCATATATCAACCCTAAAATAGACTTAATGCAGTTGACCTCATAAGAAAAAAAGGCAAAAATGGCCAACCTCACACATATTCGTTGCCCGGGCGGTGTGTTTGGGATCATTGTCATGCTGAAAGACCCAGCCACGTTTCA